AGGAAATCGACCTCATGATTGCATCAAAACCTGCCCAAAATGAGTAAACAAGATATAGTCAATGAGCTTCACAAAGCAGCAAGAAGAATTTTTTCTCGTCAACATACGATTATTAAAGGAATAGATGATTTATGGCAGGCAAGCTGACCTGATTGATTTTCAAAAATATTCAACGTTTAATAAAGGATATAAATATGTTCTAGTAGTAATCGATGCTCTATCAAAATACGTATGGGTTAGACCATTGAAAACGAAACATAAAAATTGTGTCAAAAATGCGATGCAAAGTTTATTATCTGAATCAAGACGAAAACCTAAAAATTTACAAACAGATCTTGGTACAGAGTTTTATAATGATTCTTTTAAGAATTTAATGAAAAATTATAATTTAAATCATTATTCCACGTAATCCGTTAAAAAGGCCTCCATTGTAGAACGAACTTTAAAAACTCACCTTTACAAAATATTCAGTCTATGCGGACGATATCAATGGTTCAAAAATAATTTAGATTTTGTTGTAAAGTGGTATAATAATACTTTACATCGCATTACAAAATTCAAGCCTATCAACGTTAATGATTCAAATGCAATTTTAGTTATGTCAAACATCAAGAAGTCTCAAAAGCCTAAGATACGTCAAGGACCGGCGTTTCACGCTGGCGATTACGTTCGTATATGCAAATACAAAGGAGATTTTTACAAAGGTTATACCCCTAATTGGTCTACAGAATTATTTCGTATCGTTAAAGTCAACCAAACCAATCCTCAAACCTATCAAATAGAAGACAAACACAATCAAAAAATTCTAGGCTCTTTTTACGGTTACGAATTACAAAAAACTAAATTTCCAGACCTTTATCTTATTGAAAAAGTCATTAAAAGAAAAGGAAATAAGCTTTTAGTAAAATGGTTAGGTTTGAGTGATGAAGAAAATAGTTGGGTGGATAAAAGTGAATTAGTGGTTTAGGTATATAAATAACGTATTATTACTTAATAATCTCATTTTATACTTATCGATGAAGGAAGTGCCGTGTAGTGGCGGTTAAGAATATCCACTACCCCATATCTTCCCGTGGGTGTCGTAAAAGGCGACAAAGGGAAACGGGCAGGAGATGGGCAGCAGCATCTTCCTGGTAACGGCAAAAATACAATAAAAAACTGCGGTTGCCAACCCGCTCGCCAAGCGTGGTAACTATGGCAATATACCCCCCCATGATGAAAGTTACGAAGAGACGGACCCCAGTCCCCGGCGGCCCCGCTATTCCTGGCTACGGTGGCGACCATGGTAACGGCGGGGCAGGGGGTGCTAATAATCTCCGGTGGAGGTTCGGTTGCCACCTACGACGACTCGACCTGGCAACATACAACGCACGCACCCTGAGAACTGACGAGAAGATTGTGGAGCTGGAAGAAGAGATAGAAAAGTTACGCTGGCATATTATAGGATTATCCGAAGTCCGAAGAGAGGGGGAGGACACGGTAATCCTCGAATCCGGCAACTTGCTCTATTACCGGGAGGGCGACCATCTGTCCCAAGGAGGTGTCGGATTTATCGTCCACAAGTCTCTCGTTAACAACGTTGTAAAGATTGAGAGTGTGTCGACGAGGGTTGCGTACCTTATACTCAGAATCACCAAACGGTATTCGCTGAAGGTCATACAGGTTTACGCGCCAACCTCGGCACACCCCGATCACGAGGTGGAGGAAATGTATGAGGATATCTCTAGAGCCATGCATTCCTCCAAAACCCAATATACGGTGTTAATGGGAGACTTCAATGCAAAACTAGGCACAAGAGAGAACGGTGAGCTGAAAGTGGGGAAATTTGGAATAGGGCAACGGAACCCAAGGGGCCAGCAGCTGGCCGACTTCATGGAGAAAGAGGGACTCTTTATGATGAACTCTTTCTTCCAGAAGCGGCCCCACAGGAAGTGGACCTGGTCGAGCCCCGACGGTTTGACAAAAAATGAGATTGACTTCATTATGACGACCAGACGACAACTGTTCAGTGATGTCTCAGTGATCGCGAGGGTGAAAACCGGCAGCGATCACCGAATGGTTAGAGGCACACTGAACCTAAACGTTAAGTTGGAGAGGTCTCGTCTAATGAAGTCAACGCTTCGTCCCCATCGTGCTCTGTTCCAAAGTCCCGAAACCTTTCAGCTCGAGTTACAAAACCGTTTTCAGTGCCTAGAAGACTGCAATGAAGTGGACCATTTGAATGACAAGCTCGTGGAAACTGTCCATGCGGTCGGAGCTAAGTTCTGCAAGACCCACCGCAGAAGAACACAAAAACTCTCCGATCACACTCTTAATCTCATGGCTGTTAGACGGGAGATGAAGCTACATTCTTCAACAGATTTGACAGCATACAGGCAACTGAACAGACAGATCTCTAAATGCATGCGGCGGAACTTACGCAACTTCAATACAGCTCGTATTGAAGAAGCGATCGAGCGGAACCAAGGCTCCAAAGTCTTTGCCAGAGATCTGTCTGCCAGAAAGAGCCAACTGTCAAAGCTGAAGACCGAATGTGGCAGCATCGTTTCCGGGGCACCTGAGATTTTGAGTGAGATTGAGAGGTTCTATGGGCAGCTGTACACGTCATCATTGGAGCCACACGCAAGTGTGAGTAACGATCCAAGAGCGAGTCTTATCCGACATTATTCCGATGATATCCCGGACGTCAATCTGAGCGAGATTAGAATGGCTCTCCAGCACCTTAAAAACAGCAAGGCCCTAGGCGAGGATGGAATTACAGCGGAGCTTCCGAAAGCGGGTGGAAAACCGGTACTTGAAGTCCTTCAGAAGCTCTTTAATTCCGTCCTCCATGGTGGCACTACACCGGAGGCGTGGAGCAGAAGTGCGGTGGTCTTGTTCTTCAAGAAAAGCGACAACGCTCTCTTGAAGAACTACAGACCGATTTCCCTTCTGAGCCGCGTCTACGTGCTGTTTTCGAGAGTCATTACGAATCGTCTCGCGCGCAGACTTGACGACTTCCAGCCTCCCGAACAAGCCGGTTTCCGAAAAGGCTTTAGCACCATAGACCACATACATACCCTTCGACAAATTGTACAGAAGTCCGAGGAGTACAATTTGCCACTATGTCTGGCGTATGTGGACTATGAGAAAGCCTTTGATTTCGTCGAAATTTGGGCGGTGCTGCAGTCCCTTCAGCGATGCCAAGTTGACTGTCGGTATGTCGAAGTGTTGAAGTGCTTGTACAGTAGGGCTACGATGGCTATCCGAGTACACAACCAGAGTACGAAACCTATCCAATTGCAGAGAGGTGTAAGACAGGGTGACGTCATATCCCCGAAACTCTTTACCGCTGCATTGGAAGATGTTTTCAAGCTTCTGAACTGAAAAGGATAAGGTATCAACATCAATGGCGAGTACATCACTCACCTTCGATTTGCCGACGATATAGTCCTTATGGCAGAATCGCTGGAGGACCTAAGCATTATGCTCAATGACCTCAATAGTGTTTCCAACGGATAGGTCTTAAGATGAACATGGACAAAACAAAGATCATGTTTAATGTCCATGTCACACCTATGCCGGTAGTTGTTGGGAACACTAAGCTCGAAGTTGTTGACGAGTATGTTTACCTGGGACAAATAGTCCGACTAGGTAAGTCCAACTTCGACCGAGAGGTCAATCGACGGATTCAACTCGGTTGGGCAGCGTTCGGGAAATTACGGCACATCTTCTCGTCAGGTATACCTCAAAACTTGAAAACGAGACTGTACACCCAGTGCGTGTTGCCAGTGATGACATACGGAACTGAGACGTGGTCCTTCACTGCTGGCCGGATGAGGAAGCTCAAGGTCGCTCAGCGAGCTATGGAGAGGGCTACGCTCGGAGTTTCTCTGCGTGATAAACTCAGAAATGAGGATATCCGCAGTAGAACCAGAGTGACCGACATAGCCCAACGGATTAGTAAGCTGAAGTGGCAATGGGCCGGCCATATAGCTCGAAGAACCGACAACCGATGGGGAAGAAATGTTCTCGAGTGGCAGCCTTGTACCGGCAGGCGAAGTGTAGTGCGTCCCCCCACTAGATGGAGTGACGACCTGGTAAGATATGCAGGAAGTCGATGGATGCAGGTGGCTCAGGACCGTGCTTTGTGGCATTCTTTGGGGGAGGCCTATGTTCAGCAGTGGACTTGTGAAGGGCTGTAATGATGATGATGATGAAGGAAGGCAGTGGTATAATTAATAAAGTAATAGACAATTTACCGTTTGAGTTACATTTACCCGGCTATCAATTTTGCGGCCCCGGAACGAAAACGTTTACTCAAAGGCGATCGTGGGATAAACAAATTGGATGAAGCGTGCATGCTCCATGATATTGCTTACACTAACAAAGATTCGGGCGCTCGACAAAAAGCGGATTTAGAACTTTTAAAAATGGCTAAGAGGAGGTTGAAATCAGAAGATGCTAGGAAAGGAGAAAAAATTGCCTCATGGATAGTCAAAAATGTGATGAAAGCAAAAATCCGGTCGGGGAGCGGTATAGAAGCATTTAAGAAGGGGATAAAAAAAAATACAGTCTCAGTTGAAAAAACTAAAATCCAAAGACAGTCACTCGGCTATAAAATATGCCTCAATGCAGCTGCAAAGAAAATATTTAGTAATAAAAAAGGAATAAGTTTACCCAGTTGTATTCCTCTGCCAAAGTGTGGAGGATTTTTACCACTTATTCCCATATTTGCAGGATTGTCAGCTTTAGGATCATTAGCCGGTGGAGCAGCGGGTATAGCAAAAGCTGTAAATGATTCAAAAGCAGCACAAAAGTCTTCAGGAATCTGAAAGACACAACAGAATGATGGAAGCCGTTGCTCTAGGAAAAGGATTATATATTAAACCTCATAAACAAGGAGCAGGTTTATATCTTAATCCCTCAAAAAACTAATTAAACGGCTACCCAGACGGGCGCTCACTAATCTCGACATATTAGAACATGCAAGTGACATTCCATACTTTCGCGGCGTTTTCATGAGAAATAAATTACCTTTGAAACCGAGAAAAATAGAATGTGGAATACTGAATTTGGATAGCTACAGAAATCCTGGAACGCATTGGGTAGCCTTTGTAAAGCACAATAAATACGTAGAATATTATGATAGTTTTGGTAATTTAAAGCCCCCGTTAGAATTAGTTAAATATATGCATAACTTACCTATTAACTATAATTATGCACGACATCAAGCGTTTGGTGCTACAAACTGTGGACATCTTTGTCTAAAATTTTTAAGGAATTACTGGAAAAAGCATTTATATAGTGTATGAAATAAATAAACGTATCAGTATAAAAATGTCTTTCACTGTGTCTATAACTGGGACAGGAGCCTCTTTATCAACGAACTATTCACCGACAATAGAACTACAAGGAGACTACGAATGTGGTCTTTTGTATTTTTCAACTTTCAATTCTATTCCCAATATAGATGAAAGAAACAATAAATTTTATTATGGTGAAAAAGAAATGATCGAAATTCCTGAAGGGTCTTACGAGCTTCTAGATATTTGTGATTATCTAAAAAATAATATTAAGAACGCTGTACTAAAACTAACTTGTAACAATAATACATTGAAAACAAATACTTTTTGGTCTGAAGATGTGCACTTTAATAGAAGCGAATCACTGGGTAAAATTTTAGGCTTTGGTATGGAAACAATAAATGCAAATATAAGTACTGAATCAAAGTATCCTGTCAGTATTCTATCGACCATCGTGCGGATTGAATGCGATGTAGTTAGTGGTTCATTTGTCAACGGGAAAGCAAGCCATATAATTTTTGAATTTGCACCTAATGTACCACCTGGTTATCGAATAATTGAAATACCCAGAAATTTGATTTATTTTCCTGTTACCCAAAGTTCCATAAGTGCTATCAATATAAAGTTATTGAACGCTGAGAATAAAGAGATAAATTTACGAGGTGAAGAAGTACAACTGTATTTACATTTCCGAAAAAACTATGATAAATTTCAATAAAAGCCCGTCTACTTCGTGTATCCAAGCCAGTTTTAAAAGAACATCTCATAAAGGCACATCTCTTCAGCTAAAAAAGAAGCTTACCAAGTCTAACAAAGAATTTCTTAAGCTAGTTGGCTTGATAAAATGAATATTTTAAACGTATCTCAACAAACATCATACGATAACAGCATTGAAAGTTTTGAGTATCATTCATACAAACCATATGTAACTAGTTTTAACAAGAATGACGAAATACGTATTCCTATTAATCAACAAGACCTGTACGTACTACCTTCACTCAGTAGTTTATATATCGAGGGAAAGGTGAACGTTTATAACAGCACCACAAAAGAAAAGGTATCAAACGTACATTTTGTCAATAATCCCGTGCTATTTCTTTTTCAAGACATACGATATGAACTTAATGGAGTAGAAATAGATAAAATTAAGAATGCTGGTGTCACTACTACAATAAAATCTTATCTATCCTTAAATGAAAATGAATTCAAATGTGCTCGAGTTTGGGGCTGGTCAACTGGCGGAACAAGCAATACTAGTGGTGGAGCGTTTTCCGCGTCTATACCATTGAACAATATATTAGGATTTGCAGAAGATTATGAAAAAATTATAATTAATTGTAAACATGAGTTAGTATTATTACGAAGCAATACAAATCTTAATGCGATCAAGTTAAATACAGGTGAAGTTGTAGAAGATATTATAATAAATAAAATAGTTTGGCGAGTTCCACACATCAAAGTATCAGATCGTGAAAAAATCAGCCTATTAAAACTTTTAGAGAAAGATAGAGCTATTCCATTGGCATTCCGTTCCTGGGACTTATATGAATATCCATTGCTACCCAAAATACGTAAACATACTTAGTCTATAAAAACTTCATCGCAAATAGAGAAACCAGAGAAACGACGCCTTGCAAACCAACCGCAAACATAACGCGAAAATATCAATGGCAGTTTGATCATTGTCACGTACGAGATGTAAGAGTCTTTTTAAATTCATCATATTATCCTTATGAGGGGCTGAATGTCAGTTTTTCAGAAGATAAGTTTACTTTATTATACGATCAGTATGCGAGATTTCAACAGTTGTATCATGGACGCCGGTCAGAGCCGTTGATGGGTTTAAAGGAATTCAGAGACGTGGCTCCGTTATTTGTAATTGATTGTTCAAGACAACACGAAACTTTAAAAGGTTCGATCGATGTGAGAGTTGAAATCGAAACAGACCAAGAAATACCAGATCAGACAACCGCTTATTGCTTGATATTAAACGACTGGATATTAGAATACAAACCACTGAGTAATATCGTTAAGAAAATATCATGAATAGCAATACAATAATCGTCGATCTTCAAGGCTTCAAAAATAGCAAAAATAAATTTATAGTAAAGGAGTTTGCTATAGCCACTCTAGAGTACACTAATATATACCTAATTAAACCTCCTTACACATTCACTTCACTATCTCCTGAAGAGAAGAAAAAAATTGGCTGGATTGAAAAGCACAGAGGGTATCGATGGAGGGCTTTATTGATTATAGAGAGTCTCACAGAATTATAAAGACATATTTGAAAGATAAAAAGTGTTACGGCCTACTGCTGCTCCCACAAAGATTCAGTCCTCCGGGGCCCATCAGCGGAGTTTCAACGAACAGACGTAGGTCGGGCCTCAATATGGCCGCGTGGAATTTCTCTAATTACAATAAACAATAAGGGAGAGCGTTCTATCCTACTGCCATTCAACAGGGAGAATTTTAAAACCGAGCTTACCTACCTATATCCAAGGCGACTGGTCCCTCAGGGTTCGGTCAGGTCGCATGTGGTTGTATGGTGCATGGGAAGTAAGGGTCAGTGATGTGTATCTGTGTGTGACTGAGTGTGGTAGACCTTATGAGACCGTTGCCGTCGGCAGCAGCTCGGACTTCTGCAACGCTCCAAATTGTGGTAATCTTCCGCGGAGTCGTCCACAGTCACTTTCTTCGTTCGTCACGAGGACAGTCCTTAACTTTATCGCACAATTAACTAACTTCCAGAAGCCACTAACTCTAATTTGTTATAAAGCGTAACACCCAACACAAATACAGAATGTCGGTCTTTACGAAATTCCGTTACTATAAACAAAAACGTAACGCACCGCACGAACACGAATGTCCGGATCAAAGTTCACTACCGTTTCGCGTGGCAACAATTATTTCTAGAATATCAAATGCCGCAGTAGTAGATAATATTGTCGAATACCCTTATACAGATTCTGAGTTAGACACAAGAAGTCCCGGGAAAAGCTCTCAAACAAGGAATGCGCGATACGAATGCTAGACATTATATTTACTAGACGCGCCTAAACTATTTCGCGTTCCCGCACAAAAAAATGACAGCGTGCTGTCCCAAGCACAGCTGGCAAACGACTTCTGCGCTCGCGCGCCCTACCACACTTTGTTACGGCCTACGGCTGCTCCCACAAAGGTTCAATCCTGCGGGGCCCATCAGCGGAGTTTCAACGAACAGACGTAGGTCGGGCCTCAATATGGCCGCGTGGAATTTCCTATCACAATACACTATATGGGAGGAAGCTAGAAACACATAGTACTTACCATTATCCGAAGCTAACTTCGCACCAAGGCTTGGGCAGGCCGTGAGTGTGTGTAATAGTGGATGGCGAGTAGTGTACAGTGAGGTGTAAATGCCTGAGCAAGCTTAGGCGACCAACAGCGACCGAGTTCCAGGCTGCCCCAAAATGCTGCATCGCTCCAGCAGGCTTCAGCGCCGGACCACTTCTTTCTTCACTGTCACTACTCAGTCTCTCAGCTTCATCGTACATTTAACTAACTTCAATTCGCCAATCGCTCATCACAAAATCGAACACGTGGTATCCGACACGGCAAGGTCAGTAGCACAAAAATCGACATTGAATGTCCCGGATTCCCTTATCACAAATTATAAATTCGGCACCCGAATAACACGTCGCGCCAGAGTCAAAATACGCCTCGTTGACACGCAAATTAATCTAACTAGGCAACCAAAACACAAAAGGGGCACTAAACGCACCGACACAATTCCACACTCTCGCCCGAGTTAAATATCGCACAATTCACATATCTGCGTGACGAAGAAGCACGTACTTCATCTAGCTATCTAGATCCACGACGGGTCTTGCATTTCGCTAAGAGAGCCGCACGGGCTCCCTGCATCGTGTCTGGCGGGGCACCGACGTTTTGCCCACGCGTCGAGTGAGCGACCCCCACGCGTCGATCTCGGTAGCCCCACCTCGGCGCTTATCTCACCTACATACCATCGGGTGAGGCGCCAGCTTGAACGCAATTGGTTGGCGGTAAACATGACCAAATTTGGGCATAAACAAAAAGATTTTTTTTAAAGGATGTGAAAAAATTAAATGGGTGCAAGATATTTGAGATGAAAATAATACTATCATAGATATAAGTTACTTAGGAGCTCCCGATTTAAATACTCTTTGTGAACTTTATTATAAAGATACTTTACTGTATAACTGTTTTACTCATAAGAAAATATGTGGGTTAAAAAATGTTTTATGTATTAATAAATGGTGTTTTAAAAACAAAATAATTGTTTGATTTCCAATAAAACATATGTAAATAAACACTTCATCTTTTAATTTAAACTACCTTTGTGTTCGAGAAGAAGAAAAAAAATAGTTTCAGACCGTTAACGATTAGTACTTATTATTAAAGTAACTATTTTTTTTTGTACCACCTTGCATTTTTAACGATGAAATAGATTAGCCTTCATATTTTGTTCTTATATTATTGAACCATTTGTATTTCAGATTCCGAATGAAACGGTATTAGAAATGGAGCAAAGATTAAAAAAAAAAAGAGGATCGAGAGTTAGACTAAAAATTTAGACCTCTAATGGAGAGAATTGGGGCCTTCAGCGGCATGTAGCTCGAGCGAAGTGAGAGCAAGTGACGCAGAAGCCCCAATTCACACCTACTGTTTTGTATTGTGACTACAACATTGTTCCGGAATTAGTATAATTAATTTAATAAATAATCAATGCATAAACATGTTTAACTAAGAATTCAGTGTATGAATTATGATTATAACATAATATACTAAGTGTCTGAGGATGTGCGTTAATTACGTTAGATGTTGTATATACAGCCTGTCCCAAACATCCTGTATATCCTTGTGACAGGGAGGTATGGTTAAACGAAATTGTGTAACAAAAAAACTGCACTTCAGTCCCAACTAGCAATATCTGGTGAGCGTAAAAATATTAGCCCGTCATTGTTCGATTATATAGGAATATTTTT